GCATTTGAGTACACTTGAGAGGTCTCCATTTTGCATCTATCATGTGCCCTCTTTTTCATTTCATGCTCTTTTCTGACAAGTTCCCTCATTTGTAAAATATTGCATTTTCCAAAGTTTAGTGCCACAGTGCTAGTTTTGATATGATTCTTCCCCTCAGCACACATACATTATTTATATAGTATTTTCTTTTTGAAACTATTTCCTTGCTTTGCTTGAAAGCAAAGTTAAAAAAAAGCCTCTCTGCACTGGACCAGGTGTTCCAAAAAAAATATTTTTTTTTTCTTTTTTCCTTTAAGATTTAAGGTATCCATGCACTTCCTGTCTTATCCTTGTCTCTTATGCGAAAAGTGACAAGATTAAAAGGCAGATATTTGAAGTTGCTTATGGTACCTGTCTGAGACTCAGGGCACAAATTTCACTTGTTGAAAAGCTGTGCAAGTTTGCTTTACTTCCCCTCGGCTGAGGGGAGGCAATGGAATCACAGGCACCTCCCAGGACTCTTTAAGGTTAGCTTAAACCAAACTAAACAAAAAACTCTCCCATAAAACACAGTCAACCTCCTTCTCCTTCTCCCAATATGGTGAAGATGCTTTAAAATAACCTGTCCTATACTTCACCAAAATGGATTAGGAATGCTTATTCAGTTGTCTGACCCTAGCTGAGGAATAAAGAGGGAAAAGCAAATCACTAAGGGGTAGTGAGCTCCTCCTGCTATCATGTAATTAATAGCCTCTCCCTAATCAGGAAGCTGATTATAACCCTCTTCATATTACACAGGAATATTAATCTGAGATCTCGCTACATGGTCCCTCTTCATAAGCAACAGGAGCAGGAAGAACCCGTGGTTGAGCATCACATGACCTGCCTGCCATTGCATCTAACTTTTCTTTTAAGCTTAATCTTCCTTTTCCTCATTTTCTGTCATACCATCATGCTTCAGCATGTGTTCACAATGCCAACCTTCTTTTCCACTGCTAGAAGAGCTGGCTCACCCATTTCTGCCTTATGTCTATATAGCAGCACAAAAAACATTTATAGATATTATTTTTGGCCATATGCTCCTCTTCCTCATTCCCCCTACCAAGTGCTCAGGCTAATATCCTGTTGCTTTCTTGGAACATATCTGTATGATCTCACAGCCTATCCGTCCACCAATTGCTGAGGAAGATATGTGCATGATCCAAAGACACCAATTGGCCAAAGTCTGACTGATGCTTGTGGTATGGCTCTGAGGTAAATTTAATCCCCACTTCCCTACCAGGAAAAACAGAAAAGCCTGAATACATCTTGCTGAATTACACCACCCCTTTCTGTTGCTTTCTGCAGAAGTAGCACGTAAGATACTCTCTCTCTCAAGGAGAAAACAACATATTCCAACTGAATATATGTTTAGATAAACAGAGAGAAGGACTTAAGCATAACCCTTGCTGCCTGCTTGGACAAGACACCTCTCTCAGTTACCTATTCATTTTGTCCAGCTTCATTTTCAGTATTCTTAGCACCCCTGGAAACCACGCTATGATACCAGAATCAAGTCCTGTGATGCTACCCCCAGATTCCTGGGAATAAGGGCCAAAACTTGTGGTTATGCACATACTATAATTTGTCTCCAAAACAGACTAATAAAATTCTGTACTGTGTCTATTTTAGGATTTTTCTAAGGTGCCTAACACTGTGGAATCTAAATGCCATATAACAATTATAGATAACAGTGTGTGCCTTAAAAGGCAGTCTACTCAGCCTCCCTTGTTCATTGTGTGTCTGTGTGGAAACTTTCCTTCTGCTTCCCTTTTTGTCTTTCACTTCCTTGCCTCCAGTTGTGAGTTAGTCCTGGCAAAATGCCCTTACTGGAAGAATGCTTCATCAACATGGTGGGTAGCACATGTAGATCTGAATATGGTCAGGGCTGAAATCAATCCAGCTTTCTGTTAAGATTTTCTGTAGCAGGGGACAAGACACCAAAAATGTTGGCAATGCTGTATTCTGGGTCAATCAGTTTGACATGTTATAATTACCATAAAATTAGACAGTATTTATATTATATAGTTATTACTCGTTAACCTAAAGATACACACAATAAGGAAGGCCCATAAGGAGACACACACAAACCACTCATTGAAATGAAATCTCTAAATGACCCGTTTCAATGGAAAATGCCTGCAAGAACCTAGAAAAAAGAGGAGGTGCTTCAGCTCTGGGCTGTGCTGCCTAGGAGGAAACAACGACAAACACTATTAGGTTTTGAGGACTGCAGCTGGACAAAAGACCTCAACAGGTTTTGCCTGTCATCCTTATCAATAGAACACAAAACCTGAAAACCGAAGAGCAGCATAAAGGAAAAAAGCTTGGCTTGTGATAGCATCCTAGAATAAAAATTGGCTTATAATGAATGACAAACACCAGCCTAGTACCCTAATTTCGAGTAGCCTTTTTGGTTTTGTAAAATGTGTCTTCACCTGCACCACAGTAGGCTCATGGGGAAGGAGAGAGGGATGGAGAACTAGGGGCAGCTCTACCTTCGCGGGTTGCCTGCCAGGAAAGAGATAAGGCCAGGTAGCTCCCAAAGGATCCTAGGACAACGAAAAGAACTGAAACATCCAACTGGCATAACCAGAACGCTGCATCCTAAGTAGCTCCCAGCTATGCTGTATCGTTTCTGATGTGTATTCATTCCATTTTGAACACTGTTGGCTTATATGTGTGTCAGTTATTATAATCTCATACTTATTTACATACAGATTTAAAAGCAGCACTTTTTAATAATCAGAAATCTGATATTTTTTATTTTTAATCTCATTATCAATTTATACTTTCACCAAAGGGAATTCAAATTATGTCTGACACTGTTGGACACATGACTAACATGTCCCTGCCTCATTCACCTACCTCAATTTTGATTTTTACGAATGGCCTACTCAATTGAGAAAACTGTATGAAACCCATTGAAATTAAGGTAAAACGTTATCTTTCAGGTACTTGTGATTCTTTACATCTATCCATGAGACTATAACAAGGACAAAAGACCAAATACAGGCTATCTAGTTTTGTAAGACAATTGCCTTCATCTTAAATAGAGAGCAGTTTTACCAGCAAAGACCACTGGGTCCATCATGACCTGCATGACTGGACTGCATTGACTAAGGAGACTTCAGATCTTATCTCCATAGTAAGGCTAAAGGAGGCTGTAATCTCTTACATTGAGTCAAGCAGCTCTGGGCCTGACTCTGACCTCAATGATGTCCAGTTGAGCATTACTTGGTAATAATTACTATATTACCAAATAATTAACACTACATGTTACATGTTTGTACAAGAGGTCTTGATCTTTAAGATGACATGGGCTCAGTTAACGAAGGGGTTTACGTTAGGTGGGGAGCAGAAAAGAGCATAAGGGCTTCAGATAGCCATCAATTTGATAGCACACAGAGACAGTGAGAGAGTCCCTAATTTTCTCCAACATACTATGCGTGACCACCTATGGAAATCACCATGCCAAAAAGGAAGGGATAGACCCTCAATCTGCAAATAATAATTCCAAAAAGGCAAAAAATGCAGAGAACAAGGGAATAATAGGGATGTCCTTTACAAAGCAGGGGACAACAACAGGTCTTTGCCAGGGAATAGCAAACTTTTAGGTGATGCCTGCTTCTGTGCAGGCTGTCAACAACTGAAAACAAAAAACCTTTCTTATCATGCTGTGTTCCCATTCTTTCTACTCGTCTTCTACTCAGGACAGCCATCTGAGCCCTCTAGTCAACATGGAATACCAACTCCTAAAAGAGAAAGCCATAAACACCAAACCTGTTTGTACCTGATAAGGGTTAGCATGATACACCAAGGATGCCTGGGAATACTGCATTGATCCACAGTAGAAGAGTTAAGGGATGAGCCTTCAGACTTTAGAAGGATGATTTCAGACCTAGCAAGGACCTGAAATACAGCAAGATCTGCTTCGTGATCAGTGGAATCATCTGGATCATTCACACTGAAGTGAACAGTTACTTGGGTGTAAGCAAGGTTAGACTCCTGTCTAGTGATCTCAGATTCTGCAATAGCATATATAAAAGCTGAACAGGGATTTCTCTCCCCCTCCACACTAGCCTGGTACTCTGTTACACACATTTGCCTAAAACAGACAAAATACTAACTATAATAAAACATTTCACTGTTATTATAAAATTCAGCTGCATTAACAAGGGAAACTTTTTGCACTTCAGCTTCTTCATGCACGGGTAATGGGACAAGTACCATTTTTATTTCACCAAGCACGTTCTGCAGCTTGCAAGACCAGGCACTTTGTACGTTGCAACCATGTAGTACTTCAGCTAAGCAGACAGAGAGTTTCTTTACATCTTTATATTTTTCCTTTTCAACACAGATGTTGCTTCCTTCAAAAGGTCATCTTCAGTTTGAGCCTAAAACTTAGGCTGAGTTAAAAGCACACCTTAAACTTAATGGAAACATTTGAAAACACAACATTATAGTATAATCTGTCATTCATTTTGGTTTGGATCCTTTACTCCTGAAATGCCTTCAGTTAAAAACTACAGCGAGAAAAAAGTTTAAACTGCAGGCCTGTCTTTAGAAGGTAACAGGGACATCCCGTGCTAGTGCTGGCCAGGTTGGTATGCCCACTTAGTGTGATGCAACGTCCCACAGAGGTACTAGCTGGCATCCTGAAAAGCAGCACTGCTGTGTTTGCATGGTGTCACATCTCAGCTAACATCCCTGCCTCTGGTGGTTCCAGGTCCAGAACTAAATCTGTTACAGACAGCTTGTGCCGCACCAAATTGACATAACCCAGGGCAGTTTCCACATTGCATAAAATGGAAAGGCAAGCAAATGGAAAAAAGTTATTTCTTTCTCTTTTTATGGTCTCTTTATTTAAATAAAGGCATCATTCGCAGTATAGCTAGGGAAAGTTTGTTCTTGCAAATGCAAATGAAATAGATTTGATTGACTATTCAAGTGTTTTGATTGTCAGTAAAAGCTTCCCTTACCTTCATGTGTGATTTGAGATTGTCCTTGCGTGCACAGCGAAATGGACAGAGTGGACACTGATGACTTTTCAAACCTGTATGAATCACCATGTGCCGTTTCCAGTAACTCTTCCTCTTGATAACCAAACCACAGATCGGACACTGGAAAGGTTTTCCTCCTTCTTCTTCTGAGGCTTAGCAGAAGGGGGAAGAAAAAGAGAGGATCCTTTACAGCCACTTGTCGAATACTTTCCCCTTGTAAACATACTCAAGATATCATTTTTCAATGCTAGAATTTCATCTGCAAAGAGACACATCAGTTAAACAACAACATGTACCAGAAATTTCAGTTCCTCTCCCCTGCATATCCCTTTTCCCCTTAATCTAGTTATTCTCCCTCTAAGAAAGGTCACCATAATTTATAAAGGTTAATGTCCCAAACATCCTTTGGCTAATCAGTAGAGGATGCTACTCTATCTCACCTGGTCCTAATGTTCCTTATAATTTAACTGAACTGAGATGGATGTCTCTCATAATTATCACCTTGCAGCTTCATTTCCTATCAAAGGCCACTTGTAGTAGGGTATGGAAAATATGCTTAACTGTTAAAAAATGATCCATTTCCAAATCTGATGGTTAGCCAGCAGGGGAGCGAGATATAAAGCACAGAACAATCCACAACTTAACTGAAAAGCATGCAGGTATTGCATATCAGATATATTTAACCCCAGAAGTGAATGACTTCAGAACCCCTGCTGTTGAACTGTTGAACTGTAGTTATGGCTCGAGCAGATGCTGCTGCAACTTCAGCCATCGGGGGTCTTTGGGTCATGGGTTTCCTTCTGCTCCTCTAGTTGTCAGGGCTTTAAATCTACTGCCTTCCCAAATGTTTGCCCTCTGCTTTACTGCCCAGTTCACCTAAGATAAGAAAAGGATTTGGTGGCATTTATCAGGCAAATATGGTTAGTCTACTGAGTGTGGAACCATCTCAAGGTTGAAGGAAAGAGAAATTTCTGCTGCTCACTTCACAAACTAATCATCCATTCATTCTCTCACCACGATTTCCTCTGCTTGTTATAAAGAAAGGCCTAGTATTACTGTGGAATTGGAAGCCTTTTTCCTCACTGTGAAAGACAGACTATTTTCAAATATCCAGAGCTCAGCAATGTGCATCCTGCTATTTGGAATTTCTCTCAGAATATTTAATCTCATTTATCAGTTATTTCCTACTGATAAGAATATAACAAACATCAAACTCCCTTGATGAGGAACGAAGTGATAAAAACCTCCAGAAAGATTTGTCATATCCTAAAATACAATTCTTGCTATTAGGTAGGAAACAAAACCACCGTAATTCAACTGATCAGGCAGTCATTACATAAGTACACAAAAGGACACATTGTCAAAGCATGCACTTCTGCAAGTTCAGAAATTCTCCTTGTGAAATATTCTATCGTGCTTAACATATTATCAAACTGTTCCCCTCTCTGCACCTCTAAAGAGTAAGCCAAAGCCAATCCTATAATTGTTTGTGTTTCAGTTTTTAAATATCTTTACTTCTTCACAAAAGGCAGGAGAAAGACAAACCACAGAAAAAAATACATTGGTAGCATTTTTACCTATCATTTCTCCTCCTTCTATCATATCTTTTTTCCAGCCTCCGGTTATCATCACAAAGGATCCAGAAAAGAAATGTGTAACAAGCTATTACCTGTTTTCCACCCCATTAAAAATAAATCTGCAAACAATATGGGTCAATAGTAATTTAGCACATTACAAAATATGAACTGGACTGAATGCATGTGACTTCACCAAAAACAATGACAATTAATGGCACAGAGGAATTATGTCAATGCTCTCCAAAGCTGAACCATGTTAGCTCTTTACTGTACTACATAAACCTCAGCATAAGAAAAAAAATTGTAGGCTTCAGCTTTCCTTCATTTATATTGATGTCTATTTCATGTCAGATGGTGTCAATT